GTCCTTCTTGCTCTGGGGGCTCTGTGGCTGCTCAGTGTGGGCCCGTTTCTGCTGGGGCTCTCTGTCCTCTGGGCCGTCCACCTGCTCCTTGGAGAGGAGTGCTGCCCGCACCAGCCGCAGCTCCCGCTTCTCCCTGCGTTCCTCCATCTCCTCGATGTCGCCGGCGAACAGGGCCTTCAGCGGGGAGATCAGCTTGGGCACTGTCGGAAGGTCTCCAAAGCAGACCTGGGAGGCCAAGATGGAAGATGGAGATCCTCAGCAGGGCAGGGGTGGGGACAGGCCTGGAGCAACACGACCGTGGTGCCAACTCCCCTTCCTGACGAAACCCCAAGCACACCAGCCACAGCTTGGCAAAAAAAGAATGCCATGGTAGGAGGCAGGGAGCCCTCTAGTGAACGAGGCAGGCTCCCACTCCTGGCAAGGGTGGTGAAAGGCATCAGGAGACCCAAGGTGAGGCAGTGCAGGCTACGGAACTAAGCCTGGCTCGTGCCCTGCCCATTCTGAGGGAAGGCACCTGCCTCAGGTTTGTGCTGAGGCTCAGATGGCAGGACTACGTGCCCATCCAGGCCCAAGAGAGACCTTCCAATGGACCCGGCTGTCTAGCGCCCCCTGCAGGAGGCAGGTCTCACTGTCTAACTACATGCTGGTGATAATGGGGTCAATGATGGGGAGACACCTCCCGAGTGTCTCTTAGTGGCCCCACACATGCCCCGAGTGTGCAGTCCCACCGCCATGTCCCTCCCCACCCTGCATGGCCACCGGCCCACACACCTTCATGTGGTCAAAGGCAATTCCAACTTTCTCGTTAAAGTCGGGGCTGAAGAGGGGAATCTTGGCGTAGCGCTGACTGAAGTGGTTCAGCATGATGAACCCCGCGTTCATGCGCATACCCACCCCGATAGCTTGGGAGGTCGTGCTGCGAACGGAGGATGGAGACGAGGCTGAGCCGAGGATAGAGCCACAGACCGGCCCTTGCACTCCAGGCACCCAGGGAAGGCCGCGGACTCCTATAACCGGCACCTCATTGCCGGGGGCCAACTCTCCGGGGGCCAGACCCTGCCCACAACAAAACACAGCTCCCAGAACAAAACACACTCGCCACTGTCAGACCTCTGCTCGGGGACACACCTGAGACGGGCCCGGCATCCCGGGAGGACACACTTACTGGAATAACAGCTGCGCTTCAGCCCCGGGCCCCGCCGCCTCCTGCCAGGTCCCTGACCCAGCGTAGATTATTCTAGCCTGTTTCTAGTTCTTTCAAAAACCACCTCACCTCACAACCTTGCCTAGAGAACTCTGAGATTAAAGGCAGTGAGAACAGCTGTAGGCTCAGGAAGGTCCCACAGCCTTGGGAAGAAGCAGGCAGCCCTGGTCAGGTCGAGGGAGGTGACTGAGAGCTGAGTCTCCAGAGAGGCCACAGGTGAGGCTGAGCAGGTCACTGCGGCCTGTCAGGCCTTGTTACCTGTGAGTCTTCTCCACTGCTTCCTCTTCCAAGCCGTCTTCTAGGGTGGCCTCGTGGATCAGGAGGGTGGCGTCTTTCCCTGCAGGCGAAGCACAGGCATCAAGGTGGCCTCCTCAGCAGAGGCAGCCCATGGCCCTGAGGCCCAGTTGCATGGCAGGAGACCCGGGACTACCAGGGTGGGCCAGGGTCTGCTGAGGTGTCCCTACAACCTCGTTCACATTCCCTCCAGCCTAAACCCTGTGGCTCCCTGGGTGTGACTTCTTGCCCTACTCACCCATCTGGACCAGAGCCTCACAGGGCATGGTGTCCCCCGAGTAGACCACCTTCCAGCCGGACGTGTGCACCAGCGCACAGCCGAATGCGTGCTTGCAGTGCCGGACCAGGCAGGTCTGAAACTGAAGGGCAGGGCTGGGTTCAGGCTCTGCCTCTCCCTGCCCCCGACCCTCTTCCTCTGTACCCCAAGCTGTGCTCCTCACCTGTGCCAGGTCACATGCTTCCAACAGCGAGCTGATCAGGCTTTCAATGGCAGGGTTGGAGACCTCGGCCCCTTTCAGAAGGCATTTGGCAGGAATCATTCTGTGAGAAGATAAACATTTTCAAATTATAATATTAAACTTTTTTTTTTTAGGGGTTTTTGCTATAGGGGCACGTGTGCTTGCCAGACAGACAGAGAGACAGAAAGCGAGAAATCACCCCCCAGGGGGGATGGCCACGCCGCAATCCCTTCTCCTCCATTCTCCTCTTGGGATCTTGG